GAGCTTAGGAACTGAGGGCCAGAAAGATTTAAGGTATGCCTAGATAGATAAAGATATAGTTGGTGAAACTCAGTCACTGAATGCTAATTTATCAAATAGGGGGGCTTATGATATAAGTTCATGTATTATATGCCTTTTTACTGTGTCATGACTATATTGTTTCTCAGCTGAAAAGCAATATTTAACAGTGGAAGAAGACTATCTTCTTAAATGCTGCTACATTGTGGCTGTGCAGTCTCTCTTCATTTACCCTGGGGCTAATTATACTGGATGGGTAGAAACTCTGTGCAAATTCACCTAAATACAGAAAGGATGACTGTGAACAAGAACTGAACTCATGTTTCATCAGTCCCAGATAAAGACTGTAATCATTGATATATCTGCCTGTTACATGACTGAATATTGTGATATTTATGGTATATTTTGTAAATGGAGTTTGTAGAATCAGATTCTTAACAAGCAATAGAGAGATCTTATTCAGCTCAATGGAATTAGGTGGATCTGCAAACTGAATAACAGACCTATGATTAACTTGTGTGTTTAACTCTTTATTACTGAAGTAAAAAAAATTGGTTTTTGTCTCCCAGTCCGAGGAACAGCTAAAGGGCTTTGCAGTACCTGGTAGAAAGCGATATACTAGTATTGAAACAGTTAAAGCTTCTACATTTCAAACTTCAGTCCACAACTTCTTTACATAGCTTTTTATCTCCTCATTGTTGTTTTGATTTGCTTTGGTTCGGGTTTTTTCCAGGTTCTGATTATATGTGAAAATTATTAAATTTTTTTAAAATAAAATTTCACTTAGTGATGAAAACAAAGTTTAAAGAACCAGCATCAGTTGTATTTGCAGTTAGTCCAAATTTTCCTTTTAATTTTTGGTTTTGGAATTAAAATTAACCACACATTTAATAATAAACTTTATTAAGTTTCCTTATTTGACATCCCAGCTGTCCCTAAGCAGCACACATCTTGTCTCTCCAGAGTGTCTCTGAAGAACCTGCTCATTTTCTGTTTATTCTTTTAGTAGATACTGTGATATTTGCTTACCATCTCCTGCATCTCATTCCCCTGGTGCTTCAGCCAGGGTACCTTCTTCTCGTGAGAATGCTGATATCTCCAATCCAGCCTCAGAGAGAGGCTGCAGGCATTCCTTGGAGCCTGAGACACACATGGCTGTATCCTCCTCTCCTTTTTTGGATCAGTCGTGTCTTCTAATTTGCCAAAGTAGTTCCTTGAACTGGTTTCTTGTTCCACAACACTGTGATTATGCTGAATCTGTCAATTCAAAGAGTACAAAGTGTCTCTATTCCTATTTTGTAAGCCTTGGTACTATTACACGAAGGATGCGGGATTCCCAGAGCTGCAGTCAAAAAACGGGAGGTTTATTACTAAGACGTCTCAAGTAGAGAATGGCTCTGGATCTACTTTGTTCACATGACTGCTTACTCATTTTTGACTTCCCAGTTACCAGCCCAAATGTGTAAATGTTACTGAGAACATCACCTTCGAAGGTTGCTTAGGTATATCTTTTCAAAATTTGTGTGCAAAAGTGGTGCACATAACCTTCTTTGGGCCTTCTGCCATATACTGTCACAGTGTAGTGATAATATTAATCATTGTTATTTGGAAAAAAAAATATTTATCTTGCTGATAGTATATACTATATTATTCTGGTGTAATTTACTCTTCACTTTTTATTTTCTTGAGAGAAAGTATAGCTAGTTTTAAACAGCTAATACTGCTATTGATTTCAAATTGATATCGCTTCCTTAGTCTTTTATTGAGAATCAATGACATCTGAACCAGATTCATAAGTGCTATCAAATCAATATGTTTGGTGCAGTTAGAAATGCTTTGGAGCTATAGCTGAAGACACTCTTTTAATCATAAAACCAATTTTATGCCTCCCAACTGTTACAAAACCTGTTAGCAAGTAGCTCACCCGAGGGTTATCTAAAGACATTTTACTTAGACCTTAGAGAGTGAAACAATGATGCTCCCAGAACAGAAATGACAGCATTGCCTCTCTTTTTAAAGGATTTATGAGTTTCCTTAACACTTGCAAAAATTTTCCATAACTGCTTTTGTAAAAGATTTCTTGAGCTGTGACCAAAGTGTAAAGTTCCAATCTATTTAGTACAACCATACAAGCAACTGCAAAACAAGTAGAATGAAACAGGACTTCTTGTCTGCCTTCACTAGACTTTGTGACAATGTGGTTTACTATGTCAGTAATCAACACAGAAAGAGACACTGTAAGAGAAATGTGCAAGGTCTCTTATCTTGGGCTCCCACTGCTCAATTTGCAGTTTGCAACCAAGCTACCTGCACCAGATGTGTTCCTCAACACTGCATAGCTTTATGAACAATTAAGACAAGATCCACTGAGTGTACTAGTTGTGTTCTCTTTGTCTATGATGAAAGTTTAATCACTTAGCAAACATGTAGACACTTAAAATTTGTTGTCTATATGAGGCTTAATAGAAAACTTAGTGTTATAAAGCCCCATTAGGTTATCCATGTAATATAATGGGAGTTTAGTTCACAGGTAAATCCTTGTATTTTGGTGCCTAAATTTGATTTCTATAGTCTGGATCCCACCTTTTAAATCTGAATGTATCAACTCAGAGATATTTCTAGACAGAGGAAATAGGTCAGATAAATTGTACTGGAAAATCATTACTTCTGTTTATTATCTAAAAGGAAGGCTACATGAGAAACTCAGATTTAAATATATGGCAGACGTCTACAGTTTTTATCATTGGGGTTCATTTTAGCTGATCAAAAACAGATGACTGGTGTAAATTGACTTATTATAGGTCTTGACACTTACCCTGGTTCCAAATCAGAAGGATAGTAGTCTTAAATCCCTGCTAGACCTTTTCTATATTCCTGGAATGTTTTAAGACACTAGGTTATTGCAAGTGGCCCTAGATAGCTATTTTTATGTAACTGAACTGCCCCTACAAACAGAAGACATGATTACATTTAAATAAATGCTAAATTTCATTAATTCAGGAGTATTATTTTTAGCCATCTTTGCTAGAATTTTAGGTAGTTTCTATTCCTCAGTATTCTGTACCAGTGCAAAGCTTAACACCCACTCCCAGGTCTCTCTTTCTGTAACCAAACAGGTCAAGAAAGGCATTGTGATGCAGTAATTACTAAGTGAAGGGTCCCTTGTATTCTAGAAAAGAAGGAACATATATGTAGTGGTTTGAGAGCCCCAAAATCCAATTCCCGAGTCCAAGCCCCCCTCCCACATCTCAACCCAGTGTGAGATGGGTTTTTCAGACACAACACAAGACTCAATATGGAGGGAAAGCGAATTATGTTACAATGACTGTACAAATAAATATTACAATACATCATACACAATCATAACTATCTTTTCTATGATAAAGCAGTATTTACAATGGATCAAATCTCTTCTCCCTCCAAATAAAAGTCCATGAGGGAAGAAGGAAGAGATCCTTTCCACTCTCAGAGCAGCAGTCTCTCTACCTCTCTCTTCCATGCAGCAGCTGTAGCTGGACCTCTTATCATTACACACGAGGGAGGTCTCCAAGCCTCTCTCAGCCCTTAGACTCCAAGTGAGGGTCTTTCTCTCCCATGGGCTGTGTTCACTGGGACAAAGGTCACTTCACCACATCATATCACGAAGTGCAGGAGTCTTCGTGACGGTCCTTATCCTCAGGGGATTCAAGCTCCCTTGCAGAGCTCCCATCTTGGCCAGTCTTCGCGAGCGAAGATTTGGGAAAGGTCATTAACCCTTCGAGCCTGAGCAGTGGATTTTTTAGGTGAGAC